TCAGTTAGTGATGGATGCCATTGACTCTCGTCTAGTGAGGTTCATCGACGACGCCCACGAAGCATGGAAGGTTGAATTCCAACAGCAACATCCGGGCACGGTGACACGAGTGAAGAGGGAGGTGGTCTTGCCATCCGGGGAGGTGTTGTGGATGAACGATGGGGAGGAAGATGTGGGGGGATCACGACTGACTGGGAGGAAAATCGATCTACTTCAGGTGAGGGTGCATCATTCTAAATCAATAAACCATCTCGGGCTTCATATCGTCCGTTGATTCGCGATGGTGGATCTGATGATGATGTTTTGTACAGCGTTGGAATATATGTTCGCTTTTTCTCAGCTGATCTCAGGAGTTTCCTCACCATAGTACTAGAACTTACAAAAATCAATAAGAATTTCCTTACAATTTTCATATTGTCATGTAGTTGACCATTTCACCCATACTGATGTTATTATTTCTCCTCGCGTGTTGAACTCCAAACATGTCCCTGAGCGTTTCCCCCTATGGCTAGGACGTCAGGTTCGCGGCTCCGAGCTGCCCTCACAGTACAGAGACCAGATGGCTGAGGTCGGCAAATGTTTGCTAGTTATGGTAGAGGCAGGCACCACCGATATCGAGGTGATAATGCGCGGTTTTCTATTAATTATTATCTTATCTCAGGAATTAGCAAGAGCTGCCCACACTACGTGGATGGAGATGAACGAGCACCTCCGAAGGGCACAGCCACAACTGTTTGTTGCATATGATGATCTCGACGATTCCGAGAAAGAAAAAGACCGAATTTTTGCGAGACTTGCTTGCCGGTTTCTATGTTGAACTTTTATTTGAGTTGTGAGAAAATTTTCATGAAAGTCGACTTCCATTGACAACTTAACACTTCGACCATGTAGGGATGCTTTATCGTACAAACGCAGAACATGGGAACTGTCAGTATCGATTTCACCGCGGGGACCATGAAGAATACGAAATCCTGCCATCTTTCGGCATTGGGGGCATCAGAGAACATCACTAAAGCAGATGTAGAGAGCTGGCAGACCGAGCGAAGAGGACTCCATCACCGAATGAACGAAACCGAGGACGAACACACAGACCAGGACCAGGCCGAGCCCTAGAGGGCCCGTGGTTGACGATGTCCTTTTCATTACCGGAAGTGATTGCCACTACTACTAGGAGGGCGATAGCGCTTGATAACATGATATACCCTTAGTCGAGTGGGAAAGCAAATGTTAATTTATTCCCATATCATGACGAGCTCCGCTACGTGAGGCAGCGTAAATGATGGGAACGCTCAAAGCGAAGCTGTTCTCAAATTTCCAATTCAGAAATGCTAGCACCGTCCTACTGAACCGTATTCGACCATATGTGCGCATACACCTCCTCCTCCTCCTTCGGAGTGGAGGAGAGGGCATCAACTCGCTTGGTGTTTGCCATATTGTTTGAAAAAAACTACAACTAGGGGGAGAGATATCATCTTGGTAGAATTCAAGACAGCGGAGAAGTGAAATGAACTGATGATAATAGCTGCATGGAGTTAATTATCGTTGTTGGTGATGAGTAGGAATAAGCCTATGAACCACCGAAGGGCCATATTCCTCGAACTCCTCTCGCGTGATCCACATCTCAGGCGCTGTACTGTCTCTGTGGATCTCCGCCATCGTGCATGCCCCAATGTAGGGTAGGAACCTTTTGACGCTGGTAAAGTTGCATAAAACACCACCGCCCGGTCTACATTCTATCATCCCTCTCCACCACCCTAGCCCGACCTCCATACACCTTGCTGAGCTCACCCTTCAAGCGACGACCGAATCCTTCTAGTAGGGTGTTGCCACCAGATAGCAGTACTGACTGCTGTAGCGATTCTCGGATGTCCAGTGGCGACGAGTCGATCTGTAATCAGCGTTGGTGGTATATATGTTCAGCTAAGCTCAGAAGTTTTCTCACGAATAATGGGAATATCACCCGAATTTCCATATTGCCACCAAATAAGTGCACTGTCTACAACAACCCATAAAATAACAATTATATATACCGTAAATATGTCAACATATCAATATTCATATATGGTTGTAGTATAGCACATACTTATACATAAACACCGCCCTACCGCCTCTATCAGCGTCCCTTGCAGCCCCGGTTGGTCCTTGAACACTTCATCAACAGCATATGCCGGCGTGAATAGAATTTCTGGAGCAAGATACCGCTCCGCACCGATGGCCACTTCAGTGCCGTCGGGTAAGTGGACGAAACGGTTGAGCTGAATGAGAATCAATAACCCAAATTCGCGAATATCTGAATTCTAACCTTATTTTTCCTGGCCTCAGCTTTACTACTAGAGGGGTCCTCAGAGACGAAGCAGTGGTCTTCTTTCCATTCACGCATCTGCAGGTTGTACGATAATTACACCGCGGAAAATTTCCGGATGAATTTTCAAAAATTACTATTAATTTTTCGTATGGTATTATTAGTGTGTGGGCACGAGAAAAATCTGAGAAAATTTTCGAAAATTCTCAAAATTTTTCATAATTTCTTTACACGCTCATTCGCGTGTGGGGATGATGAGGA